AAAAAAGGTTTTGTAGGAAAGTACGAAACCTTTAAAGTTTCGCATCTAGTATAATAGTTTTATAGGAAACCCAGTACGAAACCTCGAGGTTCAATACGAAACCCTAAAGGTTTCGTACTTTCCTACAAAACCTTTTTTCTGGTGTACGGAACCTAAAAAGGTTTCGAAGAAAAAAGGATCTTCACTTGGGTACACGGTAAGATCCTTTAAAGGTTCCGGGGTTTTTTTATTCGTTTTTTTAAACTTTCAACACATTTGCAAACTTTTTGTCATCTACCGAACCTTTTTTTGAGGTTCCAGAAAGTACCTTTTTTTTACAGTGTATGTTTGAGAAGAATTTCAGGTCGAAATTCCATCATTCACAACGAAACATGGCATTGGATTTTCGGATTTTGTTTGGATTTTGAAAATCCAAAAATCCAAAAAAATCGGCATTTTTTCCCTTGTAATAAAGAAACTACGCCTTTTTTGTAACGTACTCAGGGAAACAATTAATTAATTATGAACAGTACTTGCAGAAAAACAAATTTTACTAGAATAACATCTTTTCGAGATGGAATATATTATAATTATAGTAAGTAGTCTTATAATCGAAGCGATTAGGAAAACAACTAACTAAGAGATAAATATATATAAGCCACGTAATCACAGACATCGAGAAAAGACCACTAATTATACTCAATAGCTTCAAATGTACAACAGTTTCTTCCTTAGATAATCAAATAAATAATACAGTTTTCATATGACTAATATATTTTGCTATAAGTAACTGCTGTTTTGATGAAAATACGATGAATGAATTAAAATGGGTGTTGGTTAGCGAAAGGCAAATTTGAACATATTTTCAATGATGTCAAAATTGCCCATTCTATAGAAAAAAAGGAAAAGAGAACAAACATCCGTTGCATCATATGCAGCACTCATTCTCGTGTAACGTTCAATAAATACAATTTTATCTTTCTCTAAATAGTTTATATATATATATGTAGAGATAATTTTTTTGAATATGTTGTGTTTTTATTTATACAGATGTGGATAAAAAAGTTTGAATAAAAACTAACTAGATCATATATTAAAGATGCACTTTTTTATAGAATTAATTCTTTAGAGAACAAAGCATAGCTTATGAGCAATATTTTAATTATTTTATTGATGATTTAATGTTCTCTTGTTCATAGCGAAGAGTCCACTAAAAATAAATTGTCCGTTTCCTAGCTTGTATGCTCACTCTACACTGATTGCTCGGACACCAACGCAAGATAAAAAATGGCTAATTTTCTACAAAACTTGATGAAAGCTAGTTGAGGGTGGAGAATTCAAATCCGAAGTGGGTTTATTTAATTAATTAATTATTTATTTACTTAGTATTGGTTGATTATTAATTTATAAGTAATATTTTTCACAAAACTTGACCGAAGGTAATCCAGGGTGGAGAACCCGAATTCGAGGTCGGTGTTTAATTTTTTCTTTTACTACTAGTATTAGTAAATTTTTTTCTAGAAAGCTTGATCAAAGGTCATTTCACTTCTTTAAATTGTGTAAATTAACAACTTGCTGAGAGTACAAAAACAGCACTTCTACCAGAAAGAGCTGAGTGAGTCCGCAGACAAGCGTTACTTGTTATATAAATAATTCTCTATTTGATTATCAAATAAAATTAGTTTTATATTATACATTAATAAGTTTTTCTTGTCTACAATTTTCAACTATTCTTCTATTAACATTCTGTTCAAATAGATATTTAAAATATGAACAACAATACTTTTTGTGAAATCAGCAAAATCAAATCTGATACATTTTTTGAGCTTATAGAATCAATGACAAGTGAAATTGAAGTTGAATTTTTAAAAGCTCAAGGAATTAATAATATTCCTTCTTTGTTGTGAGCACGAGATTTATATTCTATATTCAAAATCGATTGTGAGGAGCTACATGATTTAAGAAATCGCGCATGTTTACAGCTAAAAAATGGTGAATACATGGTGTGTCCAGCTATAAAAGAAAATCTTGATTATTGTATAAATGTATTCAAAGATAAATTACATGAACAACAACAATATCGAACAGAACATCATAACTAGGATTCAAATACACAACCCCATTAATTTGTCAATACATTTATTAATAGTCTTACCGATAATATGACTCGTTCTAAATATCGTTATGAATACAATACGAATATGCGACGATTCGCATCATCAGTATATACATTAGGTGGTCGAAATGTTTATGAATTCTTACGATTGAATTTACCCGGTGCATTTCCATCAATACTAACGTTAGACTCGTATAACAGTGAATATTGTGCACGTGTTGAAGAAGGTGAATTTCGCTTCGATGAGTTATTTAATTATTTAACTAAAACTAATTGTTTATTTGTGTATGCTTCCGAAGATTGTTCGGCCATTGTCAGTAAAATTCATTATAATGTTGTGAGTAATTCGTTTGTCGGTTTTTTGTCCACAACTTAATAATGGTTGGCCAATGATTCGTCAGTATCAAACTGATGACTTTTTACAATTAGAAGAATGGTTCGAAACAGTAACACAATCGACGCTAGTAAACATCCATACTATTCAACCTATAACAAGCGTAGGATCATCACCGTTTTTATTATCAAGTTTCGGTACCGATAATAAATCTAATTCAATTTCTATCATTTTTCGTTGGTTATTTATTTACCAACAATGTTATAATAATAATACTAGATTTGTTGGATTCTCTAGTGATGCCGATCCAAAGTACTTGAAAGCAATGAGATTAGCTACTGGCTAGTTTGATCATAGAAATATAACTTTTTTCATATAATTTTTAATTTTTAAGGATATTTTGCGCAATTAACGAATATCTATTTATTGAATAGAGGTAATATTTTTGACTTACAAATTCCAAAATCGTGGTCATCATGGTTTTTTTTGTGCTCAAAACAGTTGTTTTTATGTTTTCAAGATCCAATACATCTAGCTACAAAAATAAGAAATCGATTGTTATCGAAAACGGCTTCATTGATTATTGGAACTTATCGAATATCGACACAGGATCTTCAAGATCTTATAGAAAATAATTCTAAAATTGATCATAATTTAGTTGTATCTGATATATTTAAAAAAGATCGACAAAACTACGCATCATGCTTAAAAATTTCATCACCAAATGTTTTACGTATGTTAGATCAAAGTAAAAAAACATTTGGAACACATTGTTATTTGACAATTTTACTTTTTGTTACTGTTGCTTATATTGATAAAACAACGGATATATTAAACAGAATATTTCATGCGTGGTCCACCGTTTTCATTTGCAGATTTTGGTGGACATGGTTGAGATATTATTTGATGACTCAGACAAAACCAACAATGTGACAAACTCAGAAACCATCTTTAAAGCAAATAAAACAACATTTTATAACTCTTCCAGCATTTCATTCAATTGAGTTAAATGCTCATATGCTAACATTTATTTTATTATTAGTGTTAAGCAAAAAATTACCTGTTGAATCATTAAATATATTTATATTTAGTTCACAACCATGTGAAAATATTTTCCGTATCGCAAGAGCATTAACCGGACCATTTTCATCTATAACTAATTTTACACTTCAACAATTTCTTGCCAAAACCAGAAAAATGTCAATATTAAATGAAATCAAATCTATTGAAGAATTAAATCTTGACTCTAATGCAATTAAGTTTCCTATACATCATAAACAAAGTCAAAATAGGTCATTTCCATCAATATTAACAAATTTAGATGAAATTACATTAGACAAAATCGAAAAAGTACTTATGATGCATATGAATATGCAAAATCTTTTTCGGAAAAATTAGAAATGTCGTCACTTTTAAAAAAGAATAACGTATTTAAATTAAACGATTTATGTGCAAACATGCGTAATGATTTAGAAAAGATGATATACATAACTGATCATTCTGTATTTGATCCCGATGATGATCCAGATGAAGACAGCGATGATTCAAGTGAAGAAGTAACGACTTTTTCATCAGTATTAGATGAAAACAGCGAAAGCGATGGTGAATATGTAGATACAGAAAATGAATGTACAAAATCAACAAAAGATGGTTATAACGGAATGAGAATTTACTCTACCGTAGCTGATAAAGAAAAAAAAGTGTTTTTCAAGATTACTATCGATGGAAAAGAAAAATATATGCATAAACAAACGGCTGTTTGTTATTTATCTAAAAAACACAGCCGGTTATCTTCCGATAGACTGGTGCGTGTTCAAAAAACAGACAAACAATAATAAAGACTTATTATCTGTTAATTATATCAAAATGAGAAAAACATACTAATTTAGTTCTTTACTACAATAGATATTTTGTATGCGATAGATTAATAACTAAAGTTTCATTTTTTTCTTTTCAGTAGAAGGTTTTTGTAGTTATGAAGGCAATAGTTGTACTTTTTTGAGAATAAACTGTATGTTATTATCGAATCTTTTAAGACTACGGTACTGTGGGAAATGCTCGAACAAGCTTAATCACATTTTTCATCCACCTAGATCCGCATTAATACTGGCAATTATAGGTAAAGAATCCCATTCATTAAAAAAGCGTTTCTTATTATCTATAGAACAAGTAAATCTTTTGTTTTATTTTTTTAATATAGTATAAATAAACACAAATCATGTCACATATGAAGATTGATATACGACTGTTAAAATTATCTGGGGATTTCCCGTTCTGATTACCATTCACAATAGAAGATCTGATGTGGTTGAGCATTGACCACTCTATTTATAAACAGCAACTGTCTGTTCTTAAAAATATTATAATATTTTGGATATAAAAAGATGAATGAAAATTTTTTCACTGTTATACTATCCTTGGTTCGATTTCACTGACATTCTCTTAACTATTATCTGCACAACATGTTCATACTTTTTTTTACTTCTAAGAACACTTTGATAGTGTGGGAACTCAACCATTAGATCTGAAAGAATGAGTGTGCTTCAGAATAGCTGTAAATGGCTACAGATGTCCAAATGAGTTTTCTCTCTGTTGTATTTACCTCTAACATTTCTACAAGTGTCTATCACGTAGTGTTCAATCTAGGAAAACCTATTGTTTGTTAGAGTGTTAAATATTGCTACTTATGAAATATGCACCAGCTTACGATTAGTTCGAGAGTTATTTAATTTGGCTTGCCTAAAATATCACAATCTCAGGCGAAATAGCAATTTCAAAATACTATTAAGGTAACTTGAGAAGGCTACGAGCTTATGGGAAATGATGAAAATGGTTAGGAATGGTTGAGAATGGCTGCGATTGGATGCGAATGTCCGATTAGCTTTTTCCCCCTTGTCTTTTATGCTTTTATTTGCACACTATCAGAGTAGCTTCGAAAACAGGCATTCTATGGAAAGAAGTTGAACTTTGCTTTTTCGTGTATCCAGTCACCTATTAAACAATGCTAGAAAAGCTCTGAAAAGAGCTTTTCAATCAAAACTAGGGTATGGGTGTGGGTGTATGGTGGTGCATGTGAGTGTGGGTGTGAATGTGAATGAGTGGATGAGTCACTCACGCACTCACACCCACATTCACATCGGCACCCTGCTGAGTTTCTGAAAATGCCTTCCGAGTTTCTAAGTCTTCAGAAGACAATAGGTTTTTGAGGGATTGCATCTAGAAGGGCGTGGGTGTATTGTTTTTCTTCCAGTCACACTGGAATCCCAAGCCCGCACCCACACTCTCACTCGCACCCATACCCACACCCACACCCACCCTACCCAGTTCAATAAATTCGATACCGATTCTGATCAGATTTCGTCCGATTGAATCAGTCGGCAATATGTAGAAAAAGAAATTATATATGGACATGGGGATTTTAGATATAGAAATAGGGAGTTAGATATAGACGAAAGGGATTAAGAGAAGTTATAAGCAAACAGAAATGGATATTCAGAGGGTGTCTTTATAGTTTTCGTGAGCTCGAAAACATTCAATCCATTCCCGAGGTCAGCATTTCATAAACTATTATAGCTTCGTTTTTTGAGGTTTCCAAGAGTTCAGGAACCCTTAAAGAGTTTCAGGTAGTAACAAAATCTGAAATCCTTTAAGGTTTTCTAAGAGTACGCTTTTTTTAAAGTGTATTTAACATGATTGCTTGAATGAAAATCCACGTTGTTGTCTGTAACTAATATGTTACTTTCATTTGTTTGATAGTGCTGATGATGTTCCACGAACGGCGAAGTGTGGATATGAATCAGGTGTGGGTCAATTTGACATTTACGGACTTCGAAAATAAAATGTTAAAATGTCACCGGCACTGGAGCGAAATCTTGGGTGTGGGTGTGGATGCGAGTGAGAGTGTGGGTGCGGGCTTGGGATTCCAGTGTGACTGGAAGAAAAACAATACACCCACGCCC